TTACAGCAAGTAAAGTAGAAATGATGAATTCTCCTGGAGCTAAGGAGACATACCACCAAGCTATGGAGGGAATGCTCTGGAGGACCACATTCTAGGAATACGTGTGATGAGAGGTAAAGTGATGATGCCTGATGAATAAGTAAATTAAGTTCAAGAGCATGGATGAGTTAGGGAGAGCTAGCAGTGTGTGAAAAACCTGGGAAGCAGGATTTTATTAGGTTGGTGCCAAAGTAATCGCGATTTTTGCCATTTAAAAGTAATTAAGCCGGGCAGAGAAAGACAAATACTGTATGATTTCACTTACATGTGGAATCTAAAAACATTGAACTCATAGAAGCAGAGAGTACAATGGTAGTTTCCAGGGACTGTGAGGGGAAAGATGGGGGAGATGTTGGTCTAAGGATACAAAAACCTAAGGATGTCAAGGGACACACCATCACTTTACCTCTCATCACACATATTCCTAGAATGTGGTCCTCCAGAGCTTTCCCTCCATAGCTAGGTGGTATGTCTCCTTAGCTCCAGCAGAATTCATCGTTTCTACTTTACTTGCTATAAGTTTTCAACTTAACTCTTTGCCATTTAAAAGTAATGGCAAAAACCGCGATTACTTTGGCCCCAACCTACAGAACTGCAAGCATCTTAGAATCATTTTTTTTTTTTTTATTTTGCTAGACAGAGAGTGAAGGGATTTGAAGAGGTTAGCAGAGAGCTGACCACAAGGGATGTTGAATGGCATAATAATGTAGTGATTTTCAATAATAAAATACATTAACTATAGATCTCTTGAACTTTTTCTCCTGACATTTTGTATACTTAGACCAACATCTCCCCCATCTTTCCCCTCACAGTCCCTGGAAACTAACATTCTACTCTCTGCTTCCATGAGTTCAGTGTTTTTAGATTCCACATATATGTGAAATCATACAGTATTTGTCTTTCTCTGCCTGGCTTAATTTATTTAACATTAACATATCCTCCAGATTCCTCCATGCTGTTGTAAAAGACAGGATTTCCTTCTCTTTAAAGGCTGAATAATATTCCATTACGTACATACATACCACATTTCTGTTATCCATTTAACTGCTGACTGACACTTAGCTTGATTCCATATCTTGGTTATTGTGAATAATGCTTCAATGAACATGGGGGCAGATATCTCTTTGATATACCAATTTTATTTTCTTTGGACGTATGCCCAATTGTTGGATTGCTGGATCATTTGGTACTTCTATTTTTTTTTTTTTTTTTTTTTTTTAGGAACCCCATACATTTTCCATAATGGCTGGACTAGTTTACATCACCACCGACAGTTCCTTTTTCTTAACATCCTTGCCAACACTTGTTATCTTTTGTCCTTTTCGTAATAGCCATTATAACAGGTGTGAGGTGACATCTCATTGTGGTTTTAATCTGAATTTCTCTGATTAGTGATGGTCGGCATTTTTTTCACATATGTGCTTGCCATTCGTGTATCTTCTTTTTAGAAGTATTATTCAGGTCCTTTGTCCTTTGTTCTCTAGCACCCTGTGTTCCTGGGCAGCTACATAAGTCTTGACAGGTCAGGTGGCCACAGCACCCCAGAATGTTATTCTGGCAGAAGGAAAAAGCACCCATCTTGGGTTGCAGTCAGGTTCCAAGTGAGTCTGCAATTTGTCTATTTTTAATTTGGGTTATTTGTTTTCTTACTATCAAGCCATTTTACTTCCCTATATATTTTATATATTAAGTCTTTATCAGAGGTATGGCTTGAAAATATTTTCCCCATTCTATAGGTTGTTTTCTTTGCTGTGCAGAAGCTTTTTACTTTGATGTAATTACATGAGCCTATTATTGCTCTTGTTGCCTGTGATTTTGGGGGTCATATTCCAAAAATCTTTGCCCAGACCAATGTCATGGAGCTTTTCCCTTTTTTAAAAAATAATTTTACAGTTTTAGGTCTTACATTTAAGTCTTTAATCCATTTTGAGTTAATTTTTTAATATAATGTGAGATAAAGATCTAATATTAGTCTTCTGCATGTGGAGAGCCAGTTTTCCCAACACCATTTATTGAAGAGACTGTCCTTTTCCCATGTGTGTTCTTGGAAACTCTGCCAAAAATCAATTGACTGTAAATGTGTAGATTTATTTGAGGGCTCTTTATTTCATTTCATTGGTCTATGTGTTTGTTTCATGCCAGTTCCATGCTGTTTTGATTACTATAGCTTTGGAGTAGATTTTGAAATCAGGTAGTTTGATACCTCTAGGTTTTTTTGTTTGTTTTGGTTTTTGGTCAAGATTTTCTTGGGTATTTGGGGTCTTTTGATGCTCCATAGAATTTTAGGATTGTTTTGTCTATTTCTGTGACCAATGTCATGGAATTTTGATGGGGATTGTATTGAATCTATAGATCACTTTTGGTAGTATGAACATTTTAACATTAATTCTTCCAATTCATGAACATGGCATATTCTCTACTTATTTGTGTTGTCCTCAATTTCTTTCATCAGTGCTTTGTAATTTTCAGTGTTCAGGTCTTTTATCTCCTTTGCAGCTATTGTAAACATAATTTTTTAAAATTTTTTTTTTAGCTAGCCACTATTAGTGTGCAGAAATGCTACTGATTTTTGTACAATTTTTGATTGTGTATCCTGCAATTTTATTGAATTTGTTGATTTTTCTAACAGTTTTTTGTTGGAGTCTTTTAATATTTTCTACATATAATATCATGTGTCTGCAAATAGGCACACTTTAACTTATTTCTTTTCAATTTAGATGCCTTTTTTTTCTTTTGCCTAATTACTGTCTAGGATTTCCAGTACATGAATAGAGGTGGAAAATTCGGGCATCCTTGTCTTTTTCCTGATCTTAAAGGGAAGGATTTCCAGTTTTCACCATTGAGTGTGAAGTTAGCTGTGGATTTGTTATCTATGGCATTTATTTTGCTGAGTTGTTCCATCCATACCTAATTTTTTGAGTTTTCCTTATGAAAAATATTTAATTTTATCAAATGCTTTTTCTGAATCTACCGATATGATTATATGACTTTTGTCCTTCATTCCGTTAATATGATATATCACATTATAGATTTATAGATTTGTGTATATTGAACCATCTTTGTATTCCTGGGATAAACTCCACTTGATGGTGGTGAGCAATCCACTTAATATACTGTTACATTTGATTTCATGGTATTTTGTTGAGGATTTTTGCATCTGTGTTCATCAGGGATATTAGCTTACAGTTTTCTTTTCTTGTAGGGTCTTTATCTGGATTTGGTTTCACAGTAACACTGACCCTTTAAAATCAGTTTGGAAGTATTCCTTCTTCTTTAATTTCTTTTGAAGAGTGTGAGAAGAATTGGTACTATTTCTTTACATATGTTGTAGAATTTAGTAATGAAGCCATCAGGTCCTGGGCTTTTCTTTGGCGGGAGACTTTTTCTTACTACTTTCATCTCCTTACTTATTATTGATCTTTTCAGATTTTATATTTCTGCATGATTCAATCTTGGTAGGTTGTGTGTGTCTAGGAATTTATTCACTTCTGGTGGGTTATTTGATGGCCTATAATTGTTCGTAGTAGTCTCATAATCCTTTGCATTTCAATTGTAATGTAATGTATTTCAGATATTACAGCTCATTTCTGATTTTGTCTTCTTGCTTTTTTTCTTAGTCTGGCTAAGGGTTTGTCAATTTGTTTATCTTTTCAAAAATCGTGTAGTTTATTTGATCTTTCTATTGTTTGTCTTGTTTCTATTTTATTTATTTCAGCTCTTATCTTTATTATTTCTTTCTTTCTACTAACTCTGGGCTTAGTTTTTCTTATTTTTTTAGTTCCTTGAGGTATAACATTACATTGTTTAGTTGAGATCTTTATCTGTGGTGTAGGCATTTATTGCTATAAACTTTTCTTTCAGAACTGCTTTTTCATAAGTGCACAATAGAGTATTATTTAGAAAAAGAACTGCATTTCTTATATTTTGATATATTTTGTTTCCACTTTGTCTCAAGATATTTTTTAGTTTTCCTTTAAATTTATTCATTGATTCATTGGTTGTTAGCATGCTGTTTAATTTCCATGAAATATATAGAAATTCCCAAAATTCCTTTTGTTACTGATTTCTAGTTTCATACCATTGTGGTTGGAAAAGATACTTGATATAATTTTAATCCTTTTGTATTTGTTTTTTCTTGTTTTGCGAACTAACACACGATCTATATTGGAGAATATTCTATGTGCACTTGAAAAGAATGTATAATCTGCTGCTTTTGGATGAAATTTTCTGTATATGTCTGTTAGGTCCATTTGGTCTAAAGTGTAGTTTAAGTCTGATGTTTCCTTATTGATTTTCTGTCTGGATAATCTGTCCATTGTTGAAGCTGTGGTAGAGAAGTCCCTTACTATTTTTGTATTGCAATCTATATCTTCCTTCAGATCTATTCATATTTGCTCCATTCATCTAAGTGTTCAGATGTTAGTTGCATATGTATTCACAATTGTTATAGCTTCTTGATGAACTGATTCCCTGATGGTTACATAGCAACTTTCTTTGTCTCTTTTTGAAGTTTTGACTCAAATTTTATTTTATCTGAAGTAAGTGTAGGTACTCCTGCTCTCTTGGTTTTTATTTACATGGTTTATCTTTTTTCATCCTTTCACTTTCTTTCCATATGACTTTCAGTTATAAAGTTGAAGTGAGTCTCTTTTACCAGCATATAGTTGGGTCACTTAAAGAAATCATTTATTCACTCTCTCTTTTTATTGAAGAGTTTAATCTCTTTACATTCAAGATAATTATTGATAAGTAAGAAGTTAGTATTATCATTTTGTTAATTATTTTCTGGTTGTTCTGTAGATTCTTTTTTCCTTTCTTCCTCTCTTGCTATCTTTTTTAGTGGTTAGGTGATTTTCTCTACAGCATACATTGATTCTTTTTCTTTTTTCTTTTACTTTCTTTTCTTTTTTTTTTTTTTCCTGAGATAGGGCCTCATTCTGTCACCCAAGCTGGAGCTCAATGTCATGATCATGGCTCACTGCAGCCTCGACTTTGCAGATTCAGGTGAGTCTCCCACCTCAGCCTCCTGAGTAGCTGGGACTACAGGTGGGTACCACTACACCTGCGTAATTTTTGTATTTTTTGCAGGGACAGTCTTTCGTTATGTTTCTCAAGCAGTCAGTAACTCTTGGGCTGAAGTGATCCAGGCCACTTTGGCCTCCCAAAGTGCTGGGATTACAAGGTGAGCCACTGTGCCTGGCTGATTCCTTACTTTTTATCTTTCATATAAGTAATATAGGTTTTCACTCTGTGGTTTTCCTAAGGCTTATATAAAACATCTTACACTGATTATGCTATTTTAACTGGATAACAAGTTATCTTTGATCACACTAAAAAACTCTAATCTTTTACTGCCCCCTCCCAAATGTTGTTCTTGATATCACTATTTACATCTTTTTGTATTGTATAGTCCTTAAATTATTGCATTGATGATATTGCTATTATTATTTTAAATAATTTCATCTTTTAACTTTTATACTAAAGATATAGGTGATTTACATACCACCATGACAATATTAGGGCATTTTGAATTCTATTGTGTTCTCACTTTCACTAGTTTTTTTATACTTTCATATGTTTTCATGTTACTAATTAGTGTCCTTTTCCTTTAGCTTGAATAATTCCCTTTAGCGTTTTTTTGTAACATGGGTCTGATGATGATAAACTCCCTCAGCTTTCGTTTGTCTGGGAAAGCCATTATGTCTTCTTTGTTTCTGAAGGACAGTTTGCCAGTTAAAGTATTCTTGTTTGGCAAAGATTTTCACCTTCAGCACTTTAAATATATCATCCCACTCTTCCCTGGCCTGTAATTAGAACTCCTTTATCTGTTACTTGCTTCTTTTCTCTTGCTCTCAAAATTCTCTTTAATTTTTGACAGTTTGATTATAATATATATTGGTGTCATCTTGTTTCAATTGACTCTGGGGAGACCTTTGGCCTTCCCATACTTGGATATTTAAAAAACCAAAGCCATTTTTTTTTTTTTTTTTTTTTTTGATACGGAGTTTCGCTTTTGTCACCCAGGCCAGAGTGCAATGGCATGATCTTGGCTCACTGCAACCTCCACCTCCCAGGTTCAAGCAATTCTCCTGCCTCAGCCTCCAGAGTAGCTGGGATTACAGGTATGTGCCACCACGCCTGGCTAATTTTTGTATTTTTAGTAGAGACAGGGTTTTACCACGTTGGCCAGGCTGGTCTCAAACTCCTGACCACAGGTGATCTGCCCACATCAGCCTCCCAAAGTGCTGGGATTACAGGCATGAGCGACTGCGCCCAGCCCAATCATTTTTTAATAACTGAAGAAGTTTGAAATCAAGGACAACACAAAGCAAAGGCACAGTTGTTTTGTTTCAATGATGATTAACTTCCATGAGGTACTCTCTATGAAAATATGAAACATTTTCTCACATGAAAAGTGAAAATCATATAACATGTTGAACGATACAGTTGAATATGAGAGCAAGAAGGTGTACTCTGGACAACTAAAAAGCGGGTTCCCATTGGGAGGGCTTTCCTGGCCTGGATGAGTGATCTGACCTAGATACGTGACCTGGGGGTGTCAGGAGACTGCAGGTTGGACTTACAGATGGAACTCTGCAGTAGAGCAAACTATCACATGCAACACTCAGTGGGAGTGTGTGGTTCCTGAGAAGGTTAGGTCTGTATAAAGGATGTATATCTTTAGGATGTTTCTAGAAAACTGCAGAGAAAGATTTACTAAAATAAACCCAGGTTCTTAATTTTGGTTTAAGCACAGATTTCTATAGTTTTTCAGGTGCCTTATAAGTTTTTGCAGATACACCCACAGACACTTAAATGAACTAAACAAGGAACAACAAACAGGACACTTGCTACACATGCTGGGGACCTTCACTTTAGGAATATGTAGAAAACAATTTGGCATTTTCAAGTGGATAAAAAGCTGTTCATATCTCCCACCACAATTGACTGACTGTTCTAAGCTTAAATAAACAATTATACAAATAATGACAATGGAGTCATACAAAACTATTTAATTAATGTATATTCAATTATAAATCCAAAGAGGGGAATTTTAATGGTTCAGATAACTCCAGTTTGCCCACCCATCCACTAGCAAGCACATACCTTACATAGGGAAGAAAGTAGGAGACTAGAGCCTGCTGATCCCTCAACAATTCTTAGGTCTTACCTGCTGCTCTCATTATGAGCAGCTCTTCGTTCTGAGGGTAATTCCTGAGTTTAAGACACACCTTAGTCTTACAATATACTGCTTCAACACAAGCTATCTTTTTATCTGGTGCTCAGCTGAAGAAGCCACCCTAAGAAGTAAGTGTACCCTTGAATTTTACCTTGGGCTCTTTCTCTGCAATCTCATGCCTTGGCTTACCTCATCACAATGAGCCGTGACCCACACTGTACAGTTTATAAAAAGTGATCTTAGCTGTTGCTTCTATCCTCTGTTCATTGTGTATTTTCACTGTAGAAAGTTCCTAAATGCCTACATATTTCTGGGCCTTGTGGAATTCTCTGGAGTACTCTTGAGGTATGTCTCACGGCAGGCCAGCTGCAAGAGAGTGGGTAGGGAATGTGAGCCTTGTGGAAGTTATGCCCCCATTGCCTAGCCAGCACAGTGCCTGGTCAGACTAAGTACTTGGCAAGCATTACTTTTTAAATGGATGAATGAATACATTGCTTTCATTCAAAGAGGTTAATGATGACATATTCTTAACACATGAATAATTCTTTAGTGCTTAAATTACCAATAAATGCAAAGAGAATCTGAAAACAAAGATTTTTCTAATTTTTCTGTGCACATTTATGTAACACAGACCTCATCTACATTTCTTACTTCTGATGGAAGCAAGTAAGCCAGTTTAACAAAAATAAACACTGACATGCAATTAAATTTTTGGATAATCTGCACATCCTTGGAAGCTTCATTTACCTTTCCCTTTTTATTCATTACGTTTTCTTATGCATCTAACACTAGCATCCATCTCAGCTACCATCAGCATTTTGGATTTTTCTTACTGATATGAACATTTTTATGCAGTTGTTTTTAGAATTTCAAGAGTCAAGAGTGACCTAAGTAATTACTAGGCTTTTGACCCCTAGTTTGTATTTTTTTGCATAATTTAGAGATTCCAAGTCATTGAATTTTGTTTGCTAGTATTTTTTTGTTTGCTTCATTAAATCAATTATGCCTCTTGTAAAAAGTAAATTTTGTTTTCCTCAGAGCCCTGGAAATCAACAGGTATACCCACATCACAGCCACTTATTTCTTTGTTGCTGAAAGAACCCTAAGAGACAATAATAATTATTCTCATAACAAATTTTCAATAATAATAATGTAACAACAATAATTACATGTTTATCTTTTTCAATAATAATAATTACACAATAATAATAATAATAATGTAGACCTTATAACAGTAATAAATATACATATTTGGATGCACAAATAGAGATTTATTCAGAATTGGGAATACCCTTCAGTTTTATTACAGTTCTACAAATTACCTATATCTAAATGGATAAAGATAAATTCTGAATAAATTTCATAATGATGAGTTCAAAAAGTAAACCCTTTTTATGCTTTGATTTTAAGTGGAAAGTAAAATGGCCAAAAAAAAGGTGGGAAGATGAGGAGAGAGGAGGAGGAGCTGGAAGAGAGGAAGAGAGGAAGGAAGAGGTAGAGGAAGGAAGAGAGAAGAAGGAGAGTCATTTATTCCTGAAGATAATAATGATGGTGAAAATTTATAGCAATGGCAGCAAACACGTGGAGCCCTGTCCTAAGTACTTCACACCTGTTGATTTGCATATCTTTCACCACAATCCCATGAGGTAGAGAGGATTATTACTCCCATTTTACAGATCAGGAAGCTGAGTCAGGAAGTTGGGATCACTGTTTGTACTCTCTAGCCTCACCAAGTTAGGAAGCATTAACAACAAAAAAAAGTTTACTATTTCCAAACTTTAAACTTACTAAAATTAGCAAAGATTTTTTTTCTTACCTGAGCTGGGCCTTACTGTTTCTAGGGCTTGCAGAGCTCATCTGTATTTCTTTGTCTTGCATTTCTCTCAGGATCCTTTCAGCAAGCAAGAGGCACATGGCTGTGGTTTGGGTACACTTGTTGGTTTCTAGAGCTCTGAGGAAAATGAGGTTTGCTTTGTACAAGAAGCAAAATTGATTTAAACAAGCGAACAAAAAAGTATAAGCAAATGAAATTCAATGACCTGAAATCTTTAAGTTATGCAAAAATGCAAACTAGGAAACTAAAACACCTAGTGGTTATTTAGGTCACCCGTGAAATTCTAAAAAATAAAAATGAGGCACTTATTCAGAGGACTTCATAAGGTTGCAGAGTGAAGTCACTGCCCTAGAGGGTTAGCAAGCAGGTACCCAACCTATCCTCAGGTGTCACTGTCTTAAAATCTGTGTGATCCTGGGCAGGCTACTTACCCTCTCTGTGTTTTGATTTCTTCATCTTTAAAAGGGGAATAATAATAACACCTACTCCATAAAGGTTCTCTAGAGGGACAGAACTAATAGATGTATATATAAAGGGGAGTTTATTAAGGAGTATTGACTCACATAATCACAAGGTGAGGTGCCACAATAGGCCGTCTGCAAGCTGAGGAGCAAGGAAGCCAGTCTGAGTACCAAAGCTGAAGAACTTGGAGTCCGATATTCAATGGCAGGAAGCATTCAGCACGGGAGAAAGATGGAGGCCAGAAGACTAAACCAATCTAGTCTCCCCACGTTCTTCTGCCTGCTTTAACACTGGCCTCGCTGGCAGCTGATTAGATTGTGTTCACCCAGATTGAGGGTGGGTCTTTCCCAGTCCATGACTCAAATGTTAATCTCCTTTGACAACACCCTCCCAGACACACCCAGGAACAATACTCTGCATCCTTTCCTCCAATCAAGTTGGCAATATTAACCATCTCAAGTCCCCCCCTTGTCAGCTTGAACCCATATACATCTCCTGAAATCATACATAATCTTCAAGCAAAGACAATAATAAGGCCATAATTACACCTAACATAATGCAACTATTCTTCGTACAACTAGAAATGCACCAATCCCCAACCCAAATGCTATTACATAAAATTAACAACACCTAAATGCTGATATAAAGTCAACAAATCTTACGTAATATGATAAAGGAAAAAGGAAATAAAATGAAGGTAGTTTCTTAGTACAAGTGTATAAATGCACAAACTTGTCCTTAACAAAATAAGGAGGAAATACTCATGACAATTACTGTCCTCATTTCTGCAACTGGTCACATGGTCGTAGCTGGCATTAATGACTACCTTCTTCTGCTACCCGTTCTGTATTCCCTTTGCCTTCAGCAAGTACCTCAGCAGGCCGTGGTTTTTAACCTGGTGGAGTGACCCAAACCTTCATTCCTGAGGGGTCTGGAACCCATTTGCAGTCCTGCCTGAATAGGGCTGTTGTAGTTTCCCATTGACCCTCATCACAGGGCATGGTAAAACTAAGAGATACCCTAAGAGCTCTCCTGTATTTCATGCATACTTTTCTTTAGCTTCACTGTGGTGTAGTAGACTTATTTCATCTTGATAGTCTGGGAAAATCACCCCAGCCAACACTGTAACTCTTCTTAGCCTGTTGACTCAGGCAGGAAAAGTGTGCAGGTGGCAATCTTAACTTCCAATTAAATTGAATCGTTATTGTGTCCCCTCTTGGCAGCATTCCTCCCTCTGGAACTGAGACCTCTAGGCCAGCAGAACATAATGTCTTGGGAACAGAAAACACAAATTTTGCTAGTGTGTCATTAGAGGTGATGGTAAGTGGTGCCACTTCCACTTCCATCCCTTGATTTCTGGACCTGTGAATCCTGGCTATGGGAGAAACAGTACCATATATTGGATGCTGATTCAGAGCATACACAGCCCTCTGGATAACTTTGCCCTAGCCCTGCAAAGTATTGTCACATAGTTGATGTTGTGTGACTTCAAAAGGCCATTCCACCATTCTGTCATCCAGCTGCTTCAGGATGGTGGGGAACATGGTAAGACCAGTGAATTCCATGAATATGAG